TCAGGAGGGAGCAAACATTTATACCTCATGAGCTGCAAATGGCTTTCAAGCTAAATACTTCACAAATTTTATATTTAATTTTTTTTTCATAATTGCAACATCAGTAGCACCACTAATATATTCCACCCTTTGTTTAATTTGTACTTCCATTAATTATTTTCTCTTTCAGCTATAGCTTGGGTGAGTCTGGAGGGTGCATGTGGTTGTGTAGTTAAAGTCTAGCAGTCCAACAAGGCTGACTGCCAATTTGAGACAGCTGTAGGAAGTTCTCTTACTCCTAAACATTTTTCTGGGTGACTCTGAGGCAACAAGACATGCAGGGGTAGGCCAGTGCCCTTTTATCTAATGCAGTGTTTCACTGTTTCATACATACATATTTTCTCCAAATCAGAGTTGTCAGCTGCCCTGGTTTAAATGTGTAAATGATGTTACACGATGGTGATCAATTTGTACGTTTTACTAGTGCCACCCACATGTGCTCCCTGAATTAACCTCAGCTTCTGTGAGCAGAGCAGGATGTCTCACCAGCTGCTCCAGCCAGTTTAAGTCATTTAAAAGTGCTGTTGAAGTTGGCAAGAGTTGTTGGTTCAATTTGGGCTCATTTAAAACCAGTTTCCATAAATAAAGGTCCTGCAGAGTAGTCTCAGTCTCCAATGGATGCCATTCCCTTCCTTGCTGTTTGGTCCTTCAAGATGAAATGACACAAGACCTGTGGTCCTGCTGACATATGTGACAAGAATTTGACTTAAGAATAATGGATTTACAGACCAAATTCCTGATAATCCATTTCTCTTTTCTGCAAAGCTACTTTAATCTTTTTGCCAAATACCTAGCACTGGCTGAGTTCTTTCAAACAATGGAGTTTTTTCCTGAGCTAGAACACTCTGTGTAACATTTTCCCTTTCCTATATGATGATTTAAAAATTGCAATTTGATTTTCAACACAGGTTTAGGCAGTCCAGAATGAACATAAAGTTGGTGGGCATAGGCCACAAGGCCAAGTCAGATTATTTCTGACATTCCTCTCAGGTGCTGCTGTAGACACAGACAGAAGAAGGGAGCTCTCCTGTTGGCATGTTCAATCAGCACAGGTTTGGGACACAGAATAAATAACACCACGACCACACTATTTCTTCACACTGTGCAGTCTGGGAATATTTTTTTTTTTGTTCTTCAGACTGAACACTTTGAAATCTCTAACCAGTTTTGTATTCTTATTACCGCCAGACATAAGAGCTGCTACAGCAGCTTATCCTCAGAAAAAAAGAAGCAGTTTGAAGGCACCATGCTGTTCCTGTAGCTGCCTGGAGGTTGGTTATGCTGACACTGATCATTAGTGTTGCTCTAGCAAGTACAAGTGCTGGCCTCCATCATCATTGAAAGAGTGTCCTGGGAGTGCTTTGCTTTAGAAAAGCCACCTCAGACTTAGTCACCAGCATGGGATGGCATAAATACTGCCCTTTGGTCTCTGTTTCCCAGGACTTCCCTCTGCACAAGGGAACCCCCAGGAATCCTGTTAAAATGGCTCCTAGCTGTTTGATACCATCAGGGAGATGTCATTCAGCCCTGCAATCATGGATTTTAGTATTTTAGGTGGAAGGCTGAAGACCACAATGATGTGCAGCAAGCTAGCTTTGACACTGGCAGTGGTCTCATCCCAGCAGCATGGCAGCCCCTATGGAATCATTTCCTCAGGAATGCTGAAAAGAAACCATGCTGTGCTTGGTAACTCTGTGGTTAAGCTAAACCTGCCCCCCCCCAGACTGCTCCAGAAGCAGAATTCAAAGCTGAAAGAGATGGATAACTGCAATAATCATGTGTGAATCTACTCTTACCTAATACTGCTGGGGTAATGTGCCCACTAAAATTTTCCAGCCCAAGGCCAAAATGAGGATGTCTTTCTAATCCTTTCTCTCTCTCTCCCTTACTGATTTAATAACAATTGCTCCAGCAATTCAATGTACATTAGAGAAGGAACACAACTGGTTGTGCATTGCTTGAGCATTATGACACTCCAGGTCTGCATGCTCAGACGTGGAGAGCTGAAAAGAGGATGACAGGCATGACTACAACAAGACTGACAGCAATTATACTGCTCATGATTAGTGTGAGCCCCTGTTGTGAGGCAAAAATGATGCAAAATAGAGAAGAGGGAGAAGAGAGCTGGTTTATGCACTGATTTCACTTCGCAGTTACTGGCACTGGGCTGATGTGATGGAGAAAGTCAGTGGACCAGATAATCAAAATTCAGAGAACAAAATAAAATTTCTAATAATAATCTTAATTAACAATCCATTTATTTTCCTTGTCAAGTAATGGCAATTTAATCTGCCAGGAAAATTATTCTGTAATCTGAACACAGAAATTTTAGTATTGAATGCAAGGCAAAATTAGCTGTCATCTACAATGGTGAAAATTCAAAAACACCTCAAAAGATGAGCCCATGTACTTCTGGTTTATATTAATGCAAATTTGGCCCCAGGCAAAATGCCAACTTGAATTCAACAGTTTTGAAGAGCAGCTGTCCATAAAAAAAGTTGCCACTGGAACTCAAAGCAATTTGACAAAATAAAATGCCATTCACTGATCTCTTTACATGATTTAAGGTGAAATTGCACCACTTTAGAAAGTAAGATCTATTCCTAATGGATGCCAAAAACCTCCTCCATTGTCTCCCAAAAAATGGAACAGATGGCTTCTGGTTTAAAATCAGTGCTTCCCTGACACAGTCAATGGGTAAATCCCTGTTTGCTGCAGCTGAGAGCCTGGATAGGCTGCACATCATGCTGGCTCCCTCTGAACACAGATGTGCTGCTTGTTGATGTTGATCACCTGCATACAGTAGTACCAGTTATGATTTTATATATATGTGTGTCCATAGTCTTCAAAAAGAGCCAAGTTTTTTCACATTTATGAACTAAGGTCACAGAGCACACCCAGGCCCTGTTTCGTTTTCTGCTTTACATCCCTTTCAAAGGCTCCAGGTAAGAGGCAGTCTATAAAGTGCTTCTGCTGAGCCATGAGTTTTAGTTTGGACCAGTCTGTTAGACTATCATATTTTAGTTCCAGCTTACTCTGTGTGGTCATCTTGGCTGTGGTGTGTAGGGTCAGTCAACCTTTCTGCATTTTATCAGCCCTCCCACTGCCCAGAGCAAATCAGAACTTCCTTGCACTTGAGCTTCTTTTCTCATGTATTTCTAAAGTGTTTCTAAGATGTTTACACTGTTAATCCCTGTTGATGCCTCCTCCACTCAGTACCAGATAATGTGATTGTGATTTAGGTTTGGACCTTTGAGTGTGACAGTCATGGTGATGGACAGCACGTCCTTGCCCTCACTATGCAAAGAGGGCTGGGAGCTGTGCAGTATGATCTGGGGCAGCTGAATTGGGACCTATAATATCACACTGAATAATTTAGCAGTTTTTACTGACCTTGATGTCTTCACAAATTCCCTCTAATGTCCACAGCTATGTGTGAGAATTTAAATGCCGTTTATCGCTTTTTTTTATTTCCACTTTAAAATTTCTCCTGATCCAGCAGACCTCTCAATCAGCTAAAAAGCCTTCATCCTAGTAGTTCATTCTCATTTTCCCTCTTGATTTTGGAAGCTTTTTTCAATCCTACAATTCCCAGAGAGTGTCAGTGCTCATCTGGGATATACTGAATTTAGTAATTTTTTTTTTTTTTTTTAAAGTACAGCTCTTGGGAGGAAAACATCCTGGCAAAGGAAAAGACGGGGGGGAAATGATCTTAACTGGACTTAGAGATTCCATCTTGAAGGGTAACCAGCCTCATGGTGAGGTGTGTAGAGGTGGAAAAATTCCTGATGATTTTCAGGACAGGGAATAAATGCAAGACCGTTTCTCAGGGTTGGGGTGCTGTCAGCATTCATTTACTCTTTGGAGACAGTAAAAAATAGCCTCAGAAACGCTTTTTAACTCTACAGTACTACAGTTCCATGAATTTTGGTTGCTGATGCATAAAAAGAGTTCCAAATTTTCAGATTTTTTTTTCTCTCTTCTACTTAATTCCCAGAAAGTATGCTTGAAAGGATGTTACCAGAATAGTTTCTTTTTCTTTTAGATTATGCCATATGTAGCTCCATGTGTCTGTATATCATCCATATCTATCTATATCTATCTGTATCTGTCTATATCATCTATACACATTCCCTGTAGTCATCCATATCTATCTATATCTATCTGTATCTGTCTATATCATCTATACACATTCCCTGTAGTCATCCATATCTATCTATATCTATCTGTATCTGTCTATGTCATCTATAAACATTCCCTGTAGTCATTTGTTGAAGGACTAAAATTCATACTGGATTCCTTGTTTCCTTGTGCATTTTGATTCATGATGGTACTGTTATTTATCAGAAGTGACAATGCATTTTTTGATAGCAAGATTGAATGAGATATTTGGCATTCGTTTTTATATGAATTGCATTAATTCCTTCAAGTATATTAGAAGCAAAGGTACTTCTTTATTACACATAAATGGTAATGTAAATACAGGCCTTTAACTGAAATTAAGTTATAATTCTTGCAGTTGTCACTGTCTTCTGTGTTGTGTGTTACATCTGGATGAAAATAAATGATAAAAATTCAGGACTATTAGTTTAGTAGAGCAGTGCAAGCCCTGCATGCCCTCTGCTGGAAGTGATCCCTCACAGGATGATGTAGATCACCTTCTGGCAGTGCTCGATGTCTGACCTGCAGACAGGCATACTCGCCTTTGATATACTTAGTTACTCATTAAGTTATGTCTCCATAGCAGTTTGTTAACCCAGTAGGAAGGAAAGCTCCTCCAATGCATTATTTTCTTCACACTTTTCATTACAGCTTGAACTCTTTTGACCTTCTTCTTGACTTACTAACCTTGTTACTCCATAGCAATAAAAAGAAAGTGAGTTATTTGTTGTGTAAAGTTGTTGAATGATATTGCATTACTGGCACGGGTTTTATACATACGGTTTTGCTTTGCTTTTAAGGAAGTTTACAGGTCCGATACAAGCTGAGTAAGGATGGGCTCCTCATTTTCACCATTGACTCTGGAAATTTTGCCAACCGAGAACTGCACCATGTGAAGATTAACAGGGAAGGCAGAGAGCTCGTCATTCAGGTATGCTATGGCTTATGCTGAGTATTAAATAACACTTCACAAAGACTGGCACAGGTTGCCCAGAGAAGTTGTGGATTCCCATCTGGAAGTGTTCAAGGCCGGGTTGGATGGGGCTCTGAACAGCCTGGTGTACTGGGAGATGTCCCTGTGCACAGCAAGAGGGTTGGAACAGGATGATCTTTAGGATCCCTTCCAACCTAAGCCACTGTGTGATTCTGTGGATTCTGGGAATCAGACCCCCTGATCTCAGTGCCTGATCACCAGCAGGAGGCAAAGGTTTCACACTGATTCAGGAGCAGAGCAATTTGTGAATTAGGAAACATCTTTGGCCAGAAATTCATCTGGACAATTGGATTGGTTCTAGGGCTTAGGGATGTCTGTGTGATCTGTAGCCTCCATTGAAATACACAGCATGGATCATGGAAAAGCTTCAAAAGGGAGAAAAAAGCTGAGGAATTTCATTTCAGTAAAGGTATGTTTCCCAAGGTAGGATGTGACCCCAGCTTCCTTATCCTCTCACAGAAAAGGAAAAGCTGAGGGAATACAGGGTGCAGTCACCATGTACATGGCAGTGCCCCATCCTAGAAACTAGAAGCAAGACATGCTGAGTGTGACAACCTCGTGAGGGACAAGACAGGGAGAAGAGGACCAGCTTACTGCTCCTTCTTCTTTTCTTCTAAGGCTAATTATAGCCATTCATATTGCAAAACACATTGTCTAGATCTGGCCAAAAAATCGTTTAACAGGGAAGGATGGCAGAGTCTATAGAGAGGTTGTATCTTAAGGAATAGAATGAGAAGACAAAAACACAAAGCAGTGCTTTTTTATTTTTTCTCTACAGTTTCTATCTCTGGGTGGTAAAATAACATCAGACAACTACAGTGGGTAGGCCTCATTATCTAAGAAGAAAGGTTATGCTAAAAGCCAGGGTTTTCCTCAAGAACCAGTCTACTATTGTCTGCTGCTCTGTGGTTTTCTTCTGTGCAGAACTAATTCTTCACAATATATTTCTAGAGTGGCCTCCTTTGAGTGTATTTTGAAGTGACTAGACATGGGTTTTGGGAAGCCAAGGGATTTCAGGGTCAAACATTTTAAGCTTTTCTGCAGGGGAAGTTTCTTCAAAGTCCTTTATATGACTATTCTGGTATGCCTTTCAGCTTCTCATGCTAAAATCAAAGCACATTCACTTTGCTATCTTTAGAAACTGAATCACGCTTGGGGGCAGAATTAACTGATTTGCAGCTGAGAACGTTCCCAAAAGTTTGCAGTACAATGAGATCTAGGGGTGTCCATGTGCTGTTGTACTGAAGTAATTTTATTGACCTTTTCCAGGTTGATCAAGTTCTCAAACTCAAACACAACTTCTCTGAGATTGATTTTAAGGCCATTAAGTCACTCACCTTGGGCAAGGTCACAGGTAGGTTCTACTAAAAATATTCCTGATTCATGAGATGTTACAGTGCTGGAATTAGCCTGTGCTGTGTGTTGGGTTTTTGATAGAACTGGGGGTTTGTTTGGTTTTGCTGTAAGAGTTGGCCTGAGCATTCCACTGCTCCTATTTATATATCTCATCAATGCTAAACTTTGGCAGCTTTACTTGTTTGCACCAATGGCAATATTAAGTACTCCTATTGCTCCCTCCAGTGAAGTGATTCATACAGCCTGTGTGCCTGCCCAGAGCAGCATCTTAGCCTAATGATACCATTTTGCTGACTGCAGCTTGCTCCTCTCCAGCCATTTCTGTTTCCTAATGATAAGACCAGCACAATGAGCCTTCATCCCCTCTACCTTTTTTCACTGCCAGTCTTTTTCATTTGAATTCTGCAAGGAATATTGCATATAGCGCTTAGGCCACAATTCTGCATGTTCTGTACATGGACCTTCTTGATCTTTACTCCTCCACACTACAAAGCCATTACATGACCAGGAAAACCCTGCCTGAAATTAGGAAAATAGAATTGCTCTTTTTCATTGTCAAGTATGTCATATTCCTTTATATAAGAGTCTTGTTCTTCCTCAGTAATATTCTAAATACTTCCTTCTTTACAGACATTTCAGTCCTTTGTTCAAATTGGAACTCCATATCAAGCCTGACACCTGAGTCACCATTGCAATTTTATAAGTTTCATTATTAGCACACGAGGCCTGTGGGACTGGCAGCTAGACAGACACTATAGACATCCTCTAGTGCCTGTTTGTGCAGTGTAACTCTGTAGAATGACAATAGTACATTCTGCATCATGTTTTATTAAGTAGATTAAGAGCAGGACCTGATTATCTTCTTAGTTATATATATAATTTTTTAATTATTTTTTTTCAGAATGCAGCCATCTTCAAAGCCTTTGTGGACAGGTTTGGGTTTCAGCCTGACAGTTTTCAGCCCAATTTAGAGCTAAAATTCTCATTTTGTCAAAAGTGAGCTTTAGTGATTTTAGTGATTAAAATCTAAAAGAATATTACACATCCTGACCTCTACTTAGAACTCCAGCTATAGACACCAAATCAATAAAGCAAGGGTTTACTAACCAGAAAGATGGAAGGTAGCACAAGGACCTTCAAAAATGTAGCCAGCAAGCTGACATGGTATAGCTCATGGAGAGCTTTATGCAGAGAAACTAGATTTAGTCACAAAAATATGATTAGATTCACAAGTGCAAGTTGTTGGAGAGCCAAAAAGGCCAGGTGCATCTCCAAAGGTCAGGCATTCGGTTCCACTGAGCACCACCAGCTTTTCTCCTTCTTTTATGTCTCTCTTTACCCAAAGTTCATTGAGATTTTGTTTTAGCAACAGCAATAGCTCCTATTCTGTAATGACACTAAAGCCATAAACTTGGCCATCTAGGTGGTGAAAAATGTTATTGCTGTACTGGAAATCACACAATTCATCCCAGCAAGTCACTTTAATTCCAGCTTACCCCTAGTTTCAGTTTCTTTTTCATGTGTTAAGTGAATTTCCACCAACTCTCTTCTATACCAGGATTTAATTTTCCAGCTTTTACCCCACAGCTGAGTAGAGTCCTTATGCCCTCAGAAAATCACAGCTCTTCCTCAGCCTTCTCCCTGCAGGATAACCAGTCTCAGCTCTATCAATCCTCTCTTCATAAGAGGGATGCTCTGGTCCCTAAATGATCTTTGCAGCCCTTCGCTGAACTCACTCCAGTAAGTCCATGTTTCTCTCCCACTGGGAATCTGCCTTTCTCTGCAGAGCTGCTTTCCAGCTGCTCAGCCCCAAACAGTGCTGCTGGACGGAGTTCTTTCTAGCCCAACTGCAGATCTTCTCATTTCCTTTGTTGAAATGCAGTGTTCTTGTTTTCTCATTCCTCCAGCTTGTCAACATCCCTCTGAATGGTGACACAACCACCTAATCTACCAACTTTCACAATTTTATATCTTCTCCAAACTTACTCAGGTTACACACTATTCAATGCTGGAAAAACAAAACCGAACTAGAAATTCCTACTGCTATAGTATTAAGAGTGCTGCTTTGTCGTGCAAAGAGGAGAGCTGGACATTGTCATTTTTGGACTGTGGAACTTATATAAATACATTAAATCATAATTTATACTATTGTATGGGTTAAATGTTGACTGTAGCTTCTTTTAATGGTGGCTCACCAGGTAAATATGGGTGACATGAACCAGTATCTGCCAAGTTTTTCCTTCTCATTGCTCATGCCCTCAGCAAAGCATAAACTTCCAGAGGCATGTGGTGCTTTGGAACAGACCTAGACTTCCTGTAGTGTTTATTATGGATGCTACTGGAATTACACACCTAAAGGCATTCATTAAGAAATGTAAGTGTCCACTGAAAGAGAACCACGTAAAAAACTCTGTTCTACATGCCCTACATATCCATGCTATAATCTGAAAATCTGTCTCTCTTCTTTCCTGTCACACCACTTCTCATTTGTCTGTTCTTACAGCCTGATCCTGGCTGCCTAATCAGATGATTATACCACCTTCTTTTTTGACTCCACCATTAATTTTCTACTGACTGGGAAATCTCAAAGAGGTCTTCCAGCAGGACATCATAAAAGCTTAAAACTTTTCCTCGCCAGGTTTTCTTGTGACAGCAGGAACTTTTGAAAAGTGAATTTTTATAAAATGACCAGTTTTTAAAATAATAGTGTTTCCCCTGTTTCTACTGCCCGCACCCCAGCCCCATTATACTTTCTTTAGGTACTTACACTCTAACTTTTTTTTCTTCTTTTCAAACTGGCTATATTTTTCCCAATGGTTACCTTACTCCCAGCTGTGAATTCTGGGGAAAAAAACCCTCTGTTTAAGGCAGAGGAGTCTCACCTGGAATTCAAAACATAGGGACACTCACTTTGCCACAGACTACTTGAATGACCTTGGGTAAGCCATTTATGTGCAGATATAAAGGTAAGCAGGCATTTTATTCCCACTGGAACCAGTCTGAGCTTTACTATCTCCCTTCTCTATCAGTAAAGCATAGATAATAGAACAGCCCTGCATCAGAGGGGTGCTGGGAGGATAAAAGCATTAAAGGCTGTGAGCTCTTCAGATACACAGTAATGGGACCATATAGCTGCCTTGGAAAGATCAATCTAAATATAAGTGTGGCTTTGAAGACGAGGGAGTAAAAGGAAGCATCATTCAAGTAGCCAGCAGACGTCTGTTGAATTCATCCTCGCTGTACCCAACAGCAGTAGAAAAATATTATTATCCTGTAGTTTGTTGTCATTTTTACTTCACAAATATAGAGTCAGGACACAAAAGGACCTATCCAAAGCTCATCAGTATCAATGGGAGTTTTTCCATGGATTTTAGTGGGCACTGGATTCAGGCCCCAAGTGGGTCATACAGTTTATGGCAAAGCCTCAGTGAAATCTTAACCAGAGTCCCAGTTCATTTACTTTAAGTGCTCCTTGCAGAGATCATACTGCTGTATTTAACCACACGAACATTCTGACCTAACTGTGAGGCTGGCTCTGCTTTGAACAAGGGATTGAACTGCATGACCTTCAGAGGTGTCTTTCAAATTATTTTGTAATTCTCTGATCTCAGAGACACATTTGCCTGCATTGTCTGCAAAAGATGTTGTCTACAAAAAGCTGCTATCCCAGTGGAAAATATAATTTATTTGTTTGCGGGTTTACTTTAATGAATCCTTGAAAACTTTGTACTGTGCCGCAACATGGCTAAATTTTTCACCATTATTGTCCCTGGGAAAAATAATCTCTGATGCAGAGAAGTGGATTTCATTGTTTGTGTATTTGTGTCTGAGCAATTTAATATAGTAACTGTGTAGGGATACCAAAGTAAAAGGGCAGCACTGAAAGGATTCAAGAAGATTTTGAAGAAAAAGGTTGCAAGTATTTCTTTAGAACCTATTGGTGTTGAGCTAATTTATTTGTGTCTTCAAAGTGATCAATTAACAGATCTTCCCACACTGGTAGATTGTGTATTCTAGCACAAGAACATGATATCTTTTATCTCTAAAGATCTGAACTAAAACAACTAAAACAACTCAAGTTTCCACTGAGTCATTCAGCTTTGATATAAAGTGTACCTAAAATAAAGTTTATCTGGAAAGTAACTTTATTAAAATCATTATGTAGGTGCAGTACAATTCTTAGGATTTCTACACTAGCTTTTCTTTTAAAAGTTCATGAGGAGAAAATGGAATCTGTACACTGAAGAGATCACAGAGCAGTTCATCCAAGAGTATTATATAGGGATAGATGAATTAAATGATGATAGTTGAATTAAATCTCAAGGTGTAAGTTGTCATTAACTCTGAAATACAAAAGCTGCCTTAAAGAAGTACCTCCTTTTAGAGGCTTTCTGTGAAAAATGCTTAAGTCAATTTTTTCTTTTTTTTTTTTTTTTTCCTTATTTTTAATGGAAAGACATTCCTGGTTTTAAGCTCACCAGATAACATTTTACAGTTTAAACAATGCAACAATGTCTGCAAGAGATATTGGCTGGACTCTTCTGGTCACTGCAAAGCTCATTTCTTTACTTCAGATTCTTTTTACCCTACATACCTGCTTCTTAGACCATATTGTGAACAAAGATCTCAGGTGAATTTTAGGGTTCCTTTAAAAGTCATTGATTTTCCTCCTAGTAGCCTAGTAAAACATTAAGGAAAATGGAAATTACTACATAAGGTAAAAGAGCAGAGGCTTTTGGGAGCAAGATGGCAAGAACCTAAAATAAGCAAAGTTTGGTTACCCCAGGCAGTCCAAGGCCTAAGCTAATAATGCCATCAAGTTTCTATAAAAAAGAGACCAGATCTATTCCAACTTTTTCCCCAGCAATATAATTTACTCTATGATCGTAACACCACACTTAAATACCTGTTTTATTGGTGACAATACTGCCTAAATAGGAGTCCAATGTCATCTGCTTCTATCCAGAAATTTTATATTTAGACTGAATTCTTGCTACTTGAGGTGATTTTAGCTGTCTGCTTCTGGGACAAGCATATATTCTTTTGTGCATCATCTCTCCATCTTCTTGCATATTTTCTTCTTTTTATGGATTATGTTTTCAGCCCATGCAGAATCATGTAGGACTGGTTGTGTTGTGGCAGATTAGGATTCAAATGTCAAATATGGCATGTAACAAATTTCCCATTGCAACTCCAAGTGCCTCATTCTCAATGATAAACTGTCTTTGAGAAAACATAATAAATGCATGCCTTACATTATCTCTGCAAAGCCTAATGAAATAAAAATCCTTAAATGTTACACTTGGCACAAAACGTTCAATTACAACAAAACAAACCCAGGCTCATTGTGCTCGTCTGGGCATTCTGTTCATTCCTGGGTACCCTCATGAGAAGCAGTGCCTTTAGTTTGCTCTTGCTGTTCCTTGTTTTTCACAAGTGCTTGGGAGGGGCATGGAATGTCTGAAGCCTGTCCCCTGTTCAAATTCATTATTTTATTAAGCAAAAATCGAACTGGTTGACCTCAGTTGTAACCAGGAAAAACTTTTGTGGTTTTCACTCCACTGTCTTTGTGGCAGACTCACACCAGGAAATTAGATTATTCCAAAGTTATATTTTTGGGTTCCAGGCTAACCCAAGATACACTTTCTGCCCTTTCTAATGGAGTGATTAATGTCAGCAGTGTTTACTGAGATCGTTGATGGACACAGCAGAGAATTTTTCAAGGTACCTGCACAGTGCCATGTAGTCAGCTCTTCTAAGACAGGTGCAGCGTGTGGAGACTACAAGTGCCTTTTGCCTCAAGGTCGTGGTGTCAAATCTGGTGACAATGTCCAAGAAGTAATCTTGCCAGTCCTCTTCAGCACCCTGGCAAAATGAGGTTTAAATTTCTGAGTGACATGAAAATAATGTTTATAAGGAAATAACAAAAATGTGTTGAATAATGTTTATGATCCTGTTTTACACAGTGATGCCTTTAGAAAGAGGGTATTTTACCCACTCTCCCTGCACAAAAATAACACTTTTGATTTCTCTCTGATTCCAGTTACCTGTCCTCCTTGTTGTCATTTAATGTGTCAACTTGCTGTTCCATTACTGAGCAGATTGATGCTTGGTCCTAGAGAATTCTCATGGAATTCTATTCATGATAAAAATGATTTTCCCATTATTGAGATATGAAGACTTAAAATTGCTTTATTTAAAATCTTAAAACAAGTGTTTTGTATGTAGCACAGGTGCATAATGAAACAGCAGGGGAACAGGATGTCTGATTTTCTGAATAGGAATAAATCAGCACATAAGTTATGTTGATACAATCCATAAAGTTTAAAAAATACAACCACATGTTAGACTTAATCCTCATTATCATGGAAAGCCATTGCAAATACATGGAAAACCAACATAAATCTTGCTGAGCTGTGACATTGCAGACAGCTTCCAGGGATCAACTACAGAACCCAACAAGAAGCCAGGCTAACTTATGCACAACTCAGCAGATAAAGCTTAAAAATTACTTCCTAAACGTAGGGTAAACTTAATTTGTGGAGAATGAGCAGTTTAATTACTAAAAGCTGAAAAAGATTGCCTTCTTATTCTCCGTGGAGAAATTATCCAAAATAACTCATTCTCCAATGCTGGGAACAGAAATGAAATGCTAAAATGTCAGAAGATCAAACCAAGCCATCAGCAGCAATTCAGTGTGATTTTCCAGACCAGTGAAATGCGGGGAAAGATTCCCAGCATTGCCAGGTCAGAGGGAGGCCACTGAAGTTTCTTATGACCTTGGCTGCAGCACAGACCACAGAACTTCACCAAGTTGCTTTTCTCACTGAGCACTGTGTCGTACAATAAAAACACCTTTTGAAAAAACCATTTTGTTGTGATGCAAAACCTTCAAAAGACAGTGTCCTTTAATAAGGCTTTCATAGGGCTAACTATCATAATCACAGATTTACATTATCCTCTCAAGAATTCAGAGGCCAGCACAAGTCTTTCACCACCAAGTTGTGCAGCTTTCTTGTTGAGGACAGTGAAGGCCTTTTCTGACAGACCTAAAGCTGTATGCACACACCTAAAGCTGTATGATAAAGCAAACTGTATCTGTGCACGTGGAATTTTTACCACAGGATTCAGGGGTTGTTTTTGGTTTGTTCTTTTGATTTTTTTTTCCCCCAAATTTTAAAGTCTTTCAACAACAAATCTCTGAGTTCTCATTCATTCAAAGCTTACTTTGACAAAAGGCCCATGGAATTGGCCCTTAATGTAACTTTTAAAAATGTCCACAAAGGTACTGAATCTTAGACTTTTCAAACTACTGTACCATGAAAGAGGAACACGTTATTTCTTAGGCTTTACTTTTTGCACTTGGGGTAGAACAGAGCAACTTAGATTGCCTGGTTATGAAAGATAGCAACAAATTCACCTTTTGAGTCAGAGCTAAGAAAACAATAAAGACTGAGTGTAGGAATGTTTACAAAGGGTTTTATAAATTCAACAAAGATGGCAAATACTGCAAATCAGTCTTTTAGTATATAAAAGCTTCTTGCAGGAACTTGGAAGCAATTCTTTGTCTGTTTTATAACATTTCAGCCAAAATCTCATTAAAAATCACAATGTGGTCAATTCCTACATACCTTCAGAAGGGCAAATGTGAACTTCTGCAAGATTGCAGGTTTTCCAGTGGCAAAGCCTCACTGCTTCCCTTCCCATCTTGCAGCTCAGAGGCTGTGCCCGTGACAGCTCTGCAGACTGAGCATTTCTCCCCTAAGGCCCCAGGGAGACCAAGCTGATGCTTTACCCTGCTTTGCTGAGAAACTCTGTGTTACACTTCCACAAAGATGCTCAAACATAGTTAGAAATCTTTCTCAGCCAATTCCCTCTGGGTGCATGGCATAACAGTCACAGATCTTGAGCACAAAAATAACATGTGATTTGGGCTGACTTTTTGAAATTTCTCGGTATTTTCTTATATAAAAACATTTATATAATTGAAATAGCAATGTTAGCTGTGAGAGAAGGCTTTTCTTTTTCTGATCCTGATCACTTGCAAAACCATTGTATTATAATAAGAATGGAAAAATTTGACCTTATTTTACAATTTAGCATCTTATTCTTTCAAAATTTGAAAACAAACTTGAAAAGCTAGGAACCCTTATTTCCCAATTAATTGGAAGTATTACCAAAACTTTCTAGATGCTAGAAAGTTGGAGTTTCTTTTCTGTTAGTAGGTATTTTTTAAGACTTTGGATAAGTTTTGATACTGTATCTGTGTGCATTTGTAAGCTTTTTTCTTGTTTGATTGACCTAGATATAAAGTGCATCATGCTTGAGACCTCTGAGGAGCATGAATTTCAATTTCTGGAAAGTAAATAGTGTGAGTTTGGAGAAAATAGAAAATGGCTTCACTGTCCTTCCCTGACTTTCTCAAACAATCTTTGATATTAAAACTTTTGGACCTAAATTTTTTACTGTGAAGGTGGAACATTGGAACAGGCTGCCCAAAGAAGTTATGGATTCTCATCCCTGGAAGTGTTCAAGGCCAGCTTGGATGGGGCCCTGAGCAACCAGGTCTAGTAAGAGGTGTCCCTGTCCATGGCAGGGGGTTGGAATGAGATGATCTTTAAGGTCACTTCCAAGTCAAACCATTCTATGACTATATAAAAAAAACCCCTTGCCTTTGATTTACTTTCTCAAATTTAACTGAACACATACCAACAGATAAGTTATTTGTGCTGTTTTGTCTACAGGCTGGAAAATAACACAGAGATATTTGTTTTAATTTTGATTTAGACAAGAAGAAGTATCGTTTCATTCTTTGTTTTATTAGTGAAATGGTGCTAGTAGAGCAAGAGCCTGACTCATAACTAGGAAGATTCCTAGGAATTCTGATAATAAAAAAGTAGTAGCACATGAATAGGTGCTTCAGAAAAATTTAATAATAAACTCTTGAAGAAGAATGGGAAGCTGAGGTAGCAAGCCATTAAGTGACAGGCCACATAAAGCATTTTATGACAGACAATAGAGAGCAGGGTCTTATATCCAAAAAGTGGAGAAGGCAGAATGCCTTGAAAGTATTGTCCATATATGTGCAACTGATGAAAAAAAAAAGATACCGAGTATCAGCCCCAGAAATCTATGATATTTAGTGTTACTGTTTTACTTATTATTACTAGTATTATTATTGTTGTTGTTGTTTTTGTTGTTATTGTTATGGTTTGTAGATATGATGTGCTAGATATTTTCCACTAGCTGGGAAAATGGATGAGGAAAAAAGTGCAGTGCAGGCTTTTATGTGCAAGACAATTCAAGGTAAGTAGCATTATAAAGAAAGGACTTTGGGAACCTCATGGGTCAGGCAAAAAAACTTGTAGCTGTTGAAGGAGAACCTGAACAGTTGAAATTGGACAATAGATATAAAAGGGGTGGGTAAAGCAAAAGAGGATTAATTTTCTTAATGCCTTCCTAAAGCCATTAATTGCCAGAGTGTTTTTCTGTTGAACTGCAGACAGTTTGTCCCTGGACCCTGAAGTCTCCAAGGCAAATGCCTATGGTTTCACTGGCTGCCTGTCCTCTGTTCAGTACAACCACATCGCTCCCCTGAAGGCTGCCCTGCGCCATCCCAGCATCGCTCCCGTCACTGTCAGAGGCTCCTTGACACAATCCAGCTGTGCATCCATGATGGGAGCTGACGTGAACACAGCAACCACAATATATTCCTCATCAGGTATGTCCTGCTGGGAGGGGACTGGGGAGGTTGGAGGACACTGTAGAGTGAGGTTTCCTTCCTTTCTGCTGTAGTGCAATTGTGACAGTATGAATAGTGGAGCTGGGAAATTGCCTTTTCTCTCAGAATCAGGAGTGTTGAGGATGGGCATCAGGACTAGGCAAGGCCCCTTTAAAAGTCATTGTTCTGAAACAATGTTTTCAGACTAAGTTCCTGGATCGCCTAAAACATGCCTGCTAGAACAAACAAAAGTCCCAAAGCTGTAGTGGAAAAGCTTTGAGAGTTTAGTTGTGCACCTGATTTGTCATTCCTGTCCACTCCAGATAATTCCAGTGCTGCAGATCTCAAAGGAGAAAAGCTTACAAATGCTTATAAATGTTTCACAGATTCTGTATTCCAGTGGTGATAAAGCAATAGAAATCATACAAAAAACAATTCAAATTTGTTCTCACCCTAACAGAAATGAGCAAAAACTCTTGTACAAACCCCTTGACATGTGTGACTTCAGTGGATTCTTGTACTTCATTCTCTTTGACTAAAGAGAGGTAGCACTACTTGAGCAGTACCAGCAAGATGATCCCAATCGTTTGTGTATCTTTTACAATCCTGAAGCTGTCCTCTGGGAATCTGATGTATTTTGCATATCTGAATTTGTATGCAGAGAAGGAAACTGAGAGCAGCTGGAAGTGTTGTCACCATGATCAGGGACAATCAAGTTGCTGCTTTAGTCACCAGTGGATGTGGCAGAATTCTTAATGACGAGAAAAGGGTACAAATTAAAGGCTGTTTTTTGCCCCTTGACCTATAAAGCTACTTTCTCCTTTTTGATAACTAATAAAACTCCGGTTTAGATCATAATACAATTCCTTTCACATTTGTACTTGCATCAAATCCCCATTTCCTGCAGCTTCTGCCTAAGATATTCAGCAGAAAACAAATGATGCCATTAGCATTCTGCATGGGGAAAAAGGCTGCTGATTACTCTGGAGAGCGGCTGCCAGTGGCTTGTGCTGCTCCCCAGCCCCCACTTCCTTCTCACTGCCTCCAGTTGTCTGAGGTGTCTGCTCTGATGCACAGACAAATGTGTCTTGTGAGTCCTGAATGGGCAATGACACTGAAAATATGAACTCTTTGCCCTGTGATCTGTCACCTCAATGATCTAATTTTTCTAAGGAGTTTAGAAAGCAGTAAAACCTGAGGCTCAGAACTTCAGGGCAGAACACAGAGCAGAGTGTAGTATTTGAACTTAAATATTTAAAGCATACAATCAGTTGCAGTCTATTGTTAAGGTTAAGCACTGTTGCATCAGAAATGTAGAATTATTATAAAAACTCATGCCTGTCTTGTCACTCTGTGCTCTAAAATATGATTCCTTCTCAATGTGATGAATTATCTCACATTCCAGTCTCACTATTCACACTGGATTTGATTAAAGCCTGAATAAGATCTTTAGAACAAGTGAGCTCTGAAGATTTCATGTCTTTATATGCTAAAGTAAAAGCAATAGGCGGTTGATTCTTGTTTCAAAAAAATTCCAATTTGTAAAAAATTATAATTTCTATAGATGTACTTGAGCATTACATTTCTACATGGAAAGGACACATTTTAAGAAATAAAAAGAAAACAGAGTCAAGGATTAGCTTTCAAATTTAGTGCTCATATCTCAATTCATCACTTCCCAATTTCTCATTATTGAGTGTCTGAGAAGAAAAATAGAACTTCAAAGGAGGCTGTACATGTCTGTGTCGATAGTCTAATGTGTAGATACAACAAAAAAGCCCACTAGGAAAACTCTTTAAGTGTGTGAAAAAAGCTTTCTATATTTGTAACTTGAAAACAATTGAAGATGTTTCCTTCAGAACGAAATGCTTGTGTTCAAAAAAGTTTCCTCGCAGACAGATATGGAATAAAATCCATTCACATAATTATCTGAACACACTTTTTCTGATTAGGAAACACAAAATGAGAAGTGACTTACTGTGGTTTTGATATCTAACAAAGATCTCCAGATCACCTTCTTCCTCGCTGAGGCACGTGTAAAGACTTTGTTATTTTGAACTCTATATTGATGGTATAGAGATAATGGACTTTTCCTATTGTATCTTTTCTTAATGTTAAAATGCTGTAAAAATTACAGATGAGATTCAGCTGTGTGAATGCTGGAATCTTGAGCTGCCTGTCCTCTTCAGCTGAGAGCAGGTCTTCAAGCATTTAAAGTAAAAAATGTCAAATACTTTAATAAGTCTGGAACTACACAGAAAAGATTTGCTTCTGAAAGGCACCTTAGACAGTGAAGCTCTGTCTCACTGTGCTAATTGTGCTGGACCTGGTATTTCCAAACAAGCTGTGACTGCCCAGGGGTATGCCAGGACAGCCTTGGCTGTAGCAGCTATGAGATGGTGAAGTTGAGGATCCTCAGAAGAAGGAAAAACAGCAGAAATGCATGACTGCAACCTCTGACCTTCTCATGGACCTGCTTGGAAGAATCCCACAGGATACAGACCTGGTGAGAAGAGTGGCATGAGGCCCAGAGAGGTTGTAAAGTCTTCATCCTCGGATATATTCAAAACCCAAATGGATACAGCTCTGAAAACCTTGCTCTAATAGACTTGGATTTTAGTAGGGGTTTGGACTAGATGATTTCTAGGTAGCCTTGTGACCTCAGCAGGGCTTCCAGCCTCAGTGAATCAAGCTGTAATGCCATCAGTTTTATCTGAAAGGAGGACGATGTCCTGTTAAGGTCTTAGATGAGACTCAGTGTTGCTATTCCTTGGCTTCAGAGTTTATTGTGTTCCCACTGGAGATGGCTCTGCTATTACAGGCCATCTGCTGCACTAAAACAAACCATCCTCTCCTTGTATCCTGATTTTATTTCTCAGGCAAAATATAATTCTTGGGGCTTGTGGCTGTTGGTGTCCATTCTGAAACTGCTCTTCAACATTTGTTCTGGTTTCTTCTCAGTGCTTAAGTTCTGGTTACCAAAAGATAGTAGAGTGCTGGTTGCATTAGGTGTCAAATCTTAAATAATATTTTAGACACAAATAATGTCTTATACAAATTTTTAATATAGAAATTTAATTTCATACTTTTTCATACATAGTTAATAATTTTTGATTACTCTTTTTGACTAGTGCCATGCATTGGCACCAGTTGCAATTTTTCCTCTAGTACAGGAGAACTGTTGTAGAACAGATGTAAATTTTTAATTGTCACTGAATTCACTGACTTCAGCTGAGGGATGGGGTAAAAAATACCTCACCAAACTTCCATTATCCAAAAAAGTTAACTCATCTTCAGTCTGAAATAATGATTGCTCTCCTGTTCTGTGGAAAGAAATAAGTGAGTCACACTATCAATCTTTGACAGCCATCTAAGAGTATAAAATAATTGTAGGTTCTTCTCCTATCTGACTAAATAAAAAAAATAAAAAACAAACAAACCAAAAAAAAAAACCCCTAAATTACTAGTTTTGATATTTATAACTAACTCAATATATACTGAAAAATAAAGTGAGATTAATGTACTGGTGATGTACAAAATCATTACTAACTGTGATCTAATGTTGAATGTGGCCTCGTTTTAAGCTTATGATCAGAGGCCTGAGATTAGGTTAAACAATCCCCAGATTTCCTTTCGAGCCAAAGCTTTTCTATGATACATTCTATATTTGGGTGTAAAAATATATTTTTATTCCCATTCCAGTCCCACAAATGTAGTAGATGAGATGAAGCATTGCCATGACTTTGTTTCTTGGGAATGTCACTCTGTGCACACAATAACCAGGCAAGGGGGCTCCCGTCAATAGGTTTCAAGCTGAGGGTTCAAATCTATAATTGATGATTGTCATTCATGTAGTAATGGGTGTATTGGAGGTGCTCAGCTGGGCCCCAGAAATCCCTTTTGTGTTTGTAGCTCAGTCAAGGGACTGCATCTTTTCAGTATGGGTGAGACTGAACAGAAGTCCTTCCACCCCTAAAACTTGCAAGAAAAGCTGCATTTTTTAAACCATCAAAACCTCTTTGAGGCTCATGTCTTTGCACCTCTTTGGGACTGGTGTCAGTGACATAGATAATAAGGAAAAAGTGTCTCCTTTAAGAACCTAAATAGTCCAAACCCACCATCATTATGATTCAGTGTCTTCATGCACAGACATGAAATTGTTGTTTCAGTAAAAAACATTCTCTTCAGCAATGGCTTGCCAAAGTGGGGCTAAATCTGTTACTAATGTGAGGATGTTCAATTACAATAAACCTTGCAATACCTCATTTCTCAGTGAGGCTTCCACCTCTTGCATCAGAAAGACGAGTTTGGCAGAGTATTACATGATACATAGCAGAGACAGTGATCCCTGACTCTCTCCCTATGCACATTCTCTGTGTGATAGCCTGGAGGCTTGTAAAGGAGAGACACACAAATATGAATCCCTTCAAAGAAAAGCGTAAGCTGAAGAGAAAAGAAAAATATGAAGGTGCAAAAAAGCTGGATTCAGCTAGCAGTAGTAAACATGGCATCTTCTGAAACATACTGGACTAAAAAGTAAGTCTACTGCTGTAACTCCACTGACATCAGGAAGGCCATGACCTCTCAGATTTGAATCTGAATTTGAGTCAAACAGCTGACATGCTGTTTCAGTGTTTCTACAAGTCATTGAGAGACAGAGTACAAGAGAGCTCAAATATCAAGTTAATATGAGTTGATTTCTGATCCCTCTCAGTTTTGGATCCAATGTGACCTCTCCATTTCTGTAACAGAGATAAAATCATCCCTTCCAAGAAGCTGTCCCAAGCAGAGACTGCTTCTCTTCGTGGGATTGAATTCAAGTTGTATATCTCATCTGCAAGCATAGGTCAGGTCTAAATCTGCCTAGCACCCCTTTCTTTTGGCTTCTTTCTGATATAATTTCTTAAGTAACAAAACAAAAAAGATAATAATACATCTCTGACTGAGAAAAGCTCCCAACAGGCTGTTCAGTTGAAATGTCTCTCTGATTCTTCTGATGAACTGAAACAGCACTTTCAGCTGTTAGTGGGAAACTTTCTGTTTCCTTTTAAATATACCCTTAATAGAATTTGCTTCTGAAGCTGTAGAAGAAAATTGTTCTGCAAACTCACTTTATTTTTCAGACCCTTCTGGTTCAGTTCTCCAATCCCCCAAATCACATCTTTTGAAACAGATTAGAATTCATGAGAGTAAGAGGACACTTCTGTCTAAGCCACAGAGAAAATGAACAGTTGATACAGAAAATAAGTTCTCTTTTGTTTAACCAACTGCAGATCCTTTTGGGAAGACAGATGAAAGAGAACCTCTCACCAATGCAGTCAGAAGTGATTCAGCTGTGATTGGAGGTAAAATTCATTTTTAAAGACTACAGTCAAAAAATAATTCAAGGTAAAAATCTAAGAGATATTAAGTCTAGACTCCATGAAATCTAGTCCAAGGGTTTTTTTGTAATCTGATGCAGGTCTAGTATCTGCTCTGTTTATTAGCACGTATCTGTGTCAAACTACCTAGGTGGGAAACTGCATTATGGATTATTGTAGTCACACATGGATCATCAGGAACCTGAGTCTTCTAAAATATAACTAAACTCTGTCTGTCTGCCTGCTTGAGCAGGGGAACTGGGCAAGATTATCTCCAGTGGTTCCAGGTGTTCTCTGATTCCATATGAGTCTGTGATCTAAGACCCAGCTAAGTAGCAATTTTTTTACATACCACCCTGGTGAATACTTTGCAGAGTATTCACATATGTCATATTTCCTGAGCTCTCTCTTTGTAATCTGGTGGTGTAGTGGAACTCACCAGGTTATATGGAAGTATTTATATACTGGGGAACGTTGTCCTCATAATTTCATGTATGGTTTTAATTTTCCTGTAAGAGCCTAGAAGACAATTTATCTCTGTTTATTTTATAGCATGCCCTGTAGTGAGCTGCCTTTGATAATATCTAGAAGATATAAACCAAAGTGTACAAGGCTCATGCAAGATTCCCAGAGATAACACAGAAGAAAATATGACAGAGCAGGAATTTGTATGAGCATACAGATGTAGTATTTTAAAAGCAAACTTTATTTCCAGTGGAAGCATAAATTTACAGAAATTAGGTCAATTATATCAATATGTGCTCTATTCTAAGTGTTATGAAGGTGACAAAATAGTAATAAAAACTACCAGGGAGGGTTTGGTAGAGGTGGATGGTTGTGTATGGACTGAGATGAACTGATCTATCATATCAACTAGATGCTGTGTAAGCCTTTTGTTTTGGTTTTCACTCTTTCTGTCCTTCCTTTTTTACCCCTTTATAGGTGTAATAGCAGTTGTGATATTCATCATCTTTTGCATCATTGCCGTCATGAGCAGATTCCTCTATCAACACAAACAAGCACATCGAAATAGCCAGAAAAAGGAGAAGGAATACCCAGAACACCTTGAGAGCTCCTTTAAAGCTGACATTGACTTGCAAAACACAGTGAGCGAGTGCAAACGGGAATATTTTATCTGATGGACAGTGCAATTTCCTCTTCCTCCCCTAACCTCCTTTTCTTTAGCCCCTTCTCCCTCCCTTTTTTCTGATTTTTTTTTTTTTTTAACACCCATTTTTTGCTAGCTTCTTTTTCATTTGGAAAAGACCGCCCTGCACAGGAAACACTGAGAACAATCACAGTGCCTCATTCTCTGCACAAGAACCTGGCAGTCACAGTTTACTTCTGCAGCTCAAGAGACCTGTTATCCCATCCTACACAAAATAAGATCCACATGCACACCTGGTTTCTGCTGTCAGTTCTTGGATGTTTCAAAGTCCCTGCATCATTTGTTGTTTTTTTTTTTTCCTCTGGAACCATTTAAGTCATTGCTTTTACACTAGAGCTGGACTATGTAAAGTACAGGTAAAGTAGTTGAACACATAGCTCTGCAGATACTGGGACAGGATAGAGGGAATTGAGATTGAGATCCGAACACCTGATTTATTTCACGGGCTCATTTAAAACAATCATAAAGAACCAGCTAAATTCTCAAATGTTATTAATTGATATATTGTTTATTGATTTAAATGGTGTTAAATTAATTTGTACCAGTTTAAAAGCTGGTATGACATAAAGGAAAATAAAATTGTCCTCATGAAGCTCCTTCCCCCAAACTCCTGTCCTTTTACTGTAACTTTTAGGCTTCTCAGTACTTTTCCAACAATATATGTATCAACAATAAATATCATTCTCATGCACCTCTTTCACTTACATCTCATAAGGCTGGCTATGTAGACCCAGCATACACTAGTATAACCCTAGCTGAAGCATGGAAAATAGTAGCTTGAATTTCCAAGGGGTTTAGGAAGCTGCTAGGACTTAGGTTCTCTATATTTGTCTGAAATGTTAGAAATGAGCATATGCCTGTTCATACCACATGGAGGATTATCACACACTGAGGTTAAACGCTGTTGCTGCTGTGGAAAAGAAAAAGAACATAGATGAGAAAAAAACCAAAATAGTTTAATCTTAAGCATGACTCACACCTTCTGCCAGCTCTTCTTAAAAAAAGGAAAAAATAAATTCTACTACTCAAAAAACCTCCCAAAACTGCATGAAAGATTGATTGGTATTTCCTGTTCGTAGAAATTGGAATAGCTTCTCTGAAGCTAAATAGAGAGAGGTCTGATGTCATTCCTCAAAAGAGGAATATTTGATAAACCCTCTTTACAAGGAAGAACATTAGGGGAACAAAGAGATCCCAAACACTCTACTTCAAATTAATCTTCACTCTTTTTTTTTTCTCAAGTCTTCTGTCCTTTCCTGATTAGGAGCACTAGTGAAGAATCAAGTTCTGCCCATTTTACTTGTGCTGCATGGTTACAGTGTGAGGATGAGAAACCTCCTTTTCAGTCACAAAAAAAGTAAGAAATGAAGGAGTTCCAGCCAGTGAGGTTTTGAGCACCCAGTTGTGTCTGTGTGACATCTGCCTTTGCAGGGCTTCTAAAGAGTATGTAGAATTTGCTGGTGGTAGAATTAAGCCTAAAGTTAAGGGGGGGGAAAGTCTTATTCATTGCAGTACTCTTGATAAGAGTTAATTTGAGACGATTGTGTAGCTAAATCTCCTTCTTTGCCCTGCACCCTGTGCAGTCACCCTCGGGTCTCCACACAGTGTTCCTTTTTACATAGATTAAAAATTAAAGAATCCCAGTATGAAGTAATAATCCACAGCAAACTAGAGATGAGCTTTCATATGCAACAGATGCTGTTTTTCTAGTCTGTCCACTGGAAAGGTATGTAGGTATTTATTTGTTAAACTTTTTTGTTTCAGGTTTTGGGTTTTTTTTTTAATGAGAGGAGAGAACAGAAAAGGAAGAATAAATAAATAAATAAATAAATAAATGGATATGGTGATTCTTTACCACTTCTTTTGGAGCGTTCAGGGAAAAGAAAGCAGTCTTGAAGTGACATAATTCTTACGTGAAGAGGAATATGAGACCAGCCCTATAACCAGAACTCTTCACTGAGCTATTTTATATAGCTGTCTATATTGAAACTACTTTGGTGCCATTCTTCCTCAGCCATGGTCAGCTGAAGCCATTTCACCACACATTGGTTGTTTGAGTGACACAATTACTTGACAGTGTTTCTGTGTGGTGAGTGTTGGAATGATGGACTCAGTAGCTGGATTCTCTTTACATTGCTTTGTCTTTGGTGGTAAAATCCTGGCAAAGCAATTATCTTTTCTCTTTCCTTCCTGCAGATCAAGCTGCTTTGTTTGGCATGGCAGAAGGGAGGAATAGGAGATTTCATGGGTGCCTCTGCCCATGTTTGGGTCATCTGTTCTGAAATGGCCTCTGTATGAGACATCTCTGATGTGCTAATGTGCTTAATTGGCTACATGAAAAGTGGAATAGGAAGGTAAAACTCTGAAAATTTAGCTAGGTTGGGATGCATCTGTAAAAAGAAAGAACTTCACATGAATGTATGCATGAGTATACAGAGACATGCATCTATACTAGTGGACATGGGAAGATTTTTTGTATGGACTTCTAAATCAAGATGTCAAAATTGTCCTTATTAAAAGATAGCTAAAATATACTAAATGAAGTACTCTAAATATGAACTCCTTTTTGTTTTTTAAGTTGTTTTGTTCTAATGCTTTCTTTAGTGAGGGCATAATCAGATTTCCCTCAGTATCAGTTAAAGGTAATTAATACTTTTTTATAAAAGAGAAGAAATACGGGTTTGAAAAAAACTACTAGAGCTAAAATTCATTTTCTTCGTTCAAATTAGAACCTTTTCCCCCTCTATTTAAAACCATTTCTGCAATTTTTGTTGCATTTCTTTTTAAATGGAGTGTTTTCCCTTTTTCTTTTAGCTGTTATTCTAGATAATATTTTTCAGTAAAGCCAGGGGATAATACTTTTTATGCAAAAATTTTCAGATTTCATTTAAGTGGAAAACCTGAGACTGTCAAAGAGTTGTTTGGAGGCATTGTTTGGGTTTTCTTCCTTCCCCAAGATGAGTTTCATAATAAAATTAAGGGACTGGTAGAAGGATACTGTCTCTTTTTTTTCTCTTGGTGATATGATATGTAACCTCTGAAAATTATTATTGCTAGGCAGGGATTTTTAGATTGTGAAATTATGAAGTATCTTAGATATGAATTTAAGTACTTCAAATTCCTGTTTTCCAGAAAAGACCAGTAATAGCCATGCTTATTAAGATATTTAGTCATGCAGTCTGAGCTGGATGCTCAGAAGGACTCTGTGAATTCCACTGCCTGTCTGTAGAAAACAAAGGAAGTCTGGATGTCTGAAAGCTAACTCCAACTAACTTGGTTGCCACCTGAGTGAAGGATAGGCTTTACATGGAATTCAGTCTCTTGAGGATGTGGATCAATGCTTAAGCAACCAAACAAAACGAGCATTTAACTCAAATGAATTTCGGTGTCTGGCTTGCTTTGGAATGTTCTAATATACTAAGACATTTAAATACCTTTGAAAATTGAGTCCCATTTCTCTTTTGGAAATAAAACTTTGGTCCTAAGTAAGTTACCTATGTAATTGGTAATTAGTATTTCATCTGTCCTTATTCACTTACTAGAGACAAGACAGTGTGAGTGTTTTAGTCAATTTTTAACATGTACACTATTTTTTTTCCCTCATTCTTGCCATGGCTCAGCACTTAGGTTATGTCTGCAGTGAAAAAGCCAAATAAAAGACATACTTTTATCTCACGGGCTAAGCCAGAATTCCCACCAGGGTAAATATGACTGTAAAAATGAGACATATAGAGCTGTGCAGTTATCAGAATGTGTTCAGTCATGAGATGCCCCTGACATTTAAGTTAAAACTATAACCAGATTTTAAAAAATAAGATGTTTTTTCTCGGCTTTATTTTAACCTGATCTACCTAGACTTAAATCATCCTATTTATCAATTTCTCAATTTTTACAGTGTAATCCAAACCCTTATTTTAATGAGATCTTTGACTATATTAGAATTTTGCTGATCACATATTTCACATATTGGGTGAGGAGCAATCAATGTATCATATTGTTTCACGATGGTGAGGGGTTATGAATCTTTTCCTAATGAAGTCAGGTATTGATTTTGCTGAAGATAAGATTGAGACCTACAAAGCACTTGGATATTGCTTTTATCTGAGTCTTTTGGGTTTGTTTCATTTTGCATTTGGTTTTACTGACTGCCTGCTGTAAAATTGTCACCCAGTCCTGTCCAGCCCTGTGGTTGGTGAGGACATGGCAAATGTCTCAAACATCCTGTAAAATTAAATTAATCACTAGAAATGCCTTTTTCTCTCCATTGATTATAGAGATAGGATAGTCTCCTCGAAATAGGTAAGTTACTCCTTTAGAATCTGCCTATGAATCAGAAATTTACAATAGTTTGAAGATCCAGTAGACACATCTCCACAGGTATTACAAGTGACTTTTTTTTCACTGAGGTGACAGCTGGGGTCAAGGAAGGACACCTTGCATCTAAAATTAAGCTAAATATCTCTGCCAAGTAAATGTATACATCTTGTAGCCAAATGCATGAAAATCGAGTTTGTCTGTCATATCCTGGCATCTGTTAGTCCCAAGTAGCTGTGTCTGATACTTGTTGGCTTTTCTAATTGTTGGAAGTTCCCATCCCTAAGGGGTTCTGGTTCCCCAGAACCTAAGTTCTCAATGAGATGAATCCCTGAAAAAATAAATCCCATTTTCAGAAAAAAAGGAAGCCTTCCAGTTGACATGCATCCTACACTTCCAATTAGAAGAGTGTAGAGGAGGCAGAGCTTGACCTCTTTGTGGTCCACCATCTCATGCCATTGTTGTCTGTTGCTCTCACCTGCACAAGGCTTACCCTAAACAAGACCAGTTTCAAGTATTCTTCTGCACTGCTGTTTTTCACAGACACAAAGGAGTTTCTTTTCTATTTTATTTTTAAAGAGAACAACACTTGTAGCTATAGCACTTGGCTTGTTTGATAAGTAGGCATTAAAAAAAACTGCATGAAAGCTTTGAAATAACACTTAGAAGGTCTCAGACTTTACTCAGGTCTTTTACAAACAAGCCAAGT